CCTGTCCGAGGGGCTGGGGCTGGCTTCCAGCTGCTCCTTCCACTGCGGCACCTTTGTCTGGATCACACCCCGCGCCTGGGGGGAGAGAGAAGGAGAGGGGGTGGCGCACAGGGCAGAACAGCTATAGGGGCAGCCAAGGGCTGCCATGTGCTTTACATCAGGGACCAGGTCCTCCCATGATTATGTCGGTGGGAATGGCTAAACAGGGCCCCGCAGGAGTGAATTTCTAGGACGGCACCCTCCAGCAGAGACCCCATGGTCTCAATGACCTTGCCATAAACACTGACATTGCCCTTCCCTCTCCCATCCTTCACACTTCCAACTAACCCCATCTCAGCACCATCCTCACCCACAGCCATGCTCTCCCAGCCTAGTACAGTCAGCCTGGACTCCACGGCAAGACACGAAATAGTTTCCTGCCCAGTCCATGCACAGGTGCTGCCTTCGCCCAAGGGGCAGCTCAGCCCTGGCTCCCTCCTGCCTGCGTATCCCTCCTCCAGCCACGCTGCCTGCTCCCCCAGCTCCGCTCCCCGGCACGCCAGGGCCGTACCCTGCTGTAAAACTGCAGGAGGGTGTTGTAGAGCATCTGGTGTTTTTCAGCCAGGAAACGGTAGCGGCGCTTCTCCTCCAGCTCAGCCTCCCTCTGGCTGTCAGAGATGAACGCCTGCATCTCCGAGCGCAGTCGCATCACATTCTCCTGGGCCACAGGAGAAAGAGAGAGGAAGGGATCAGCATAAATCCAGCAGAGTAGGCTTGCACATGGCAGGGGAAGGTGTGAAACAAATCATCGTGTCTACCAGCTTCCAAGTCCACTCACAGTGCTGGAGCAGCACAGACAAACTAAAGCAGAGTGCCAGGGACCAAATCCTTGCTCACTCAAGCTTGCTAAATGAGCCAAGGACTTGGCAGGAATCAGAACCGCAGGTCAACAGTACCCTGTAGAAAAGGAGTTTCCTCCTTTCCAGATAAGTCTGCTGCCTTCTGAACATTGGGGACAATACCCTGGCTTTTAAGGAAGGGGAAGGTTGCTCAGAAATCAGTCCTGGCTCCAGATAAATCATCCAGTCCTTCTTTCAACTGCCCTTTCTGCAATTGCTGCTCACCTTCATCTCCCGAACGTTTTTATCACGGGCCCTCTCCATTCTCCACAGCTCTCCCATGCACTTATCCAGGTTGGTGGCTCTGCGCTGGTACTCCAGCTCGTACTGCTTCTGGCTTTCCTGCCAGGGAGAAACCAGGCTGGGTGAGGAACTGAAGACCCAGCCACACTATGATGAAGCAGAGGTCCTGCTCTGATGGGTGGTTGAGCATCTGAGCCCTCCTGAAATCAGGCTTCACCCAGATCTCTTACAAAAAGTCTTTCTTTACCTTTCTCTTCATTTCTAAGGGCCCCAGAATACTAATGAGCCTCAGGATCTCAGGAGTAAAAACTGGCACCCAGCTCCCTCAGCACTGGGAGCAAGCCCCCAGGCCTCTGTCCCCCTCCATAACACTACCCACCAGCATGGCCAGCTGGGCCACAAGGGCACAGGAACCACACCCATGTGAATGCTGTGGTTCCGGGAAGCTGGGAACTCTGCTTTTGGGAGCCAAGGCTCTCAGCCCCTTTGAAGAATTCGGCAAGTCCCACTGCACAAAGGAGAACAGTTGCCTGCCCTCTTTAGCCCTCTATCATCAGCCAAACTAGAGGGGGGTTTGGTCCATGACAAAAGAAGATAAGGCCCCCTAACTCCTGCTGAGGAAAGTCAAGGAAACACCTCAAGTGCTCAAGCAAAAGCCCTTGGGTAGCGGGGAAGAAGGAAATGAGGAGGGTTGAGAAGGAGAAAAGTTCACTACTCACACTGATGAACTGCACATCCAGTTTGGTGTTCTTCTCCATGTGCTGTAGCAGGTCCACATGGAAGGTCTGAGCCTGGAAGAGGCAAAGGAGCCATCACCCTCATCCCTTCACCATACGCAATGAAGGGGCAGCTCACAAAACCTACAGATCTAGTGACTCATTTGTCACCTGGACCCCATACAGAAGCCAGAAACGGGCACATTAGGGCTACCATGGAGCAGCCCTGCAGCCTGGAGGTCAGCACTCAGCACCCACCTGACTGTTAACCCCCCGAGCTTTGGCATGGGCACAAACAGCAATGTCTGGAAGAGTTAGCAT